CTTCACTAGCTTTTGAAAGAGTCTAGGTGGTGAACTATTCACAACCCTCTTGTTGATCGGGATCTGAGTCTTGGTTCTCTTAATATGAAATATTTAATGAAAATGTGAGCTGCACTAGGCCAGTAAGAATATCACACTACTCACCGATATAGAAATTGAAAGTTGGTAAAAATCATAAAAATAACCAATAGAGCTCTTAATTTAAACAAATTCATTTATCATAAGGAAAACTATGTATTTTATGTATTTATCGTTGCGAGATTTTCAAAATCGACCTATAGAGACAATAACTCAAATAACATTTTAATCTTATATTCAAGTGAGCAAGAACAATAACTTTCCCACTTTATTTGCCTACTGGTATCTCTGGGGACCCATAGGGATGTCCCACTACACGTGAACCATTATTCAATATTGTCAACTAATCAGCCGTCCCCATACCCCGTCCGGTATGAGTGCCAAGAATATCATCCCTCAATACTCTGTCCGATATGAAGGTGAAACGAGTCGTCCCCATATCCCGTCCGATATGAGCACTAAAAATATCAATCTTCAATACCCCGTCCAGTATGAGGCGATGTTCACGGTAGCCTATTCATCATCTCCCAGAATATTCAGTAAGGCCACCATTCATTCATTCACTTAACTAATCAATTTTCTGTTTATATTTAATTTTCAGTTTCACAATTTAATGATAAATTAACGCAAGATAAATAAAACATGCATCAAGGAAACACAACTAAATCATTTTACCAATTTTAATATATTATCATGTATTTAAAACTGTAAAATCAAACAATCGATTAAACATGACAAACAATAATAAATAACCGGTTATGGCTCCATTAATAACCTAAAATTAATTCTCAAAATTTTTTAAATTACGCAAAATACTGTATTATTGATAATTAAACTTCAATTCCATAACAAGGAATAAGGTGAGGGATTCTTACCTGAATCGGTGTCTGAAATACCGAACTTTCAGTTGTGTCTACTAGCGATCTCCGAATTTTTTGAATTTTTCTGTGGATATTAAAACACATTTCACGTACCTAAAAATACCTTTAAAAAACTAGAATCGGTGTTAAAAACCTTTTCTGACCAATTTTGGAATTCCGAGGACGGCACCAATGCCTGCGGCGACGGTTTGCCTCAGTTTGGCCATTTTCGGTCAGTTTTGGCCAGTTTCTGCTTGTTTTATACCCATCCCTGTGAGAAAATACGTTAGATGGTCTCGGTTGGCCAAAAAAAATCAAAAAATAAAAACTTACCAGTGACGGGATTTTTTGATGCAGCGACTCTGCCGACTCACCTTCGCGGCTGGATATTTTTCTTCGGTCAACCTATAGAAAACAGAATGGTGAATACAATGATGAAAAAATCGTCTGAAATGAAAAATGGGAAGGGGCTCATCAGAGATGATTTCAAGTTTTACCCGTAGCTGTGCCGCCGGACTTTACCCGCAATTTTCGGCTCATCTGCGATTCCTTTTGCTCTGATTTGGCCATAGGGATGTTCGGAATCAAATTTCAAGCGAATTTTTTGGCGATCAGAGGTGGCTCGGCCGCGACGGCGGACGACAATCGGCTCCCTTCTCTGTCGACTGGTTATTCTTTTCCGGCAGGAGGCTGGCGGTTAGGGTTTGGGTTCAGTGTGATGCGAGATATTTATACCTGTCTCCCTTAAATCTGGACCGTTCATCGCATTTGATCTCGACCGTCCAATCACGTTTAAAGAAGAAATGAATCTGGACCATTTGTTGCAATTTGATCTCGACCGTACAATCGCGTTTAAAGATATAACGAATCTGAACCATTTATCGCATTTAATCACGACCATCCGATCATACCTGAGGAGGGAATGGATCTGCACCGTCCATGCATGCTGGAACGCATCCAAACCGTCCGATCGCGGGCACGCGGATTGTCAGCGTGGCCCTCCCGTATGGCACCGAGTCAGTACACTTTGCCACGTGGTGGGCTCCGGTTCGTCGGGGCTGCTGACTGGACGGTCCTACGTGACGTAATTTTTCTTAATTGCGTTTTGACTTCTATTTTTCGATTTTTCTTTCAAAAATATCATCCGAATTTTTACCCCTTTTTTTCAAAATTATTTTCAATTTCATCTTTAACCTATTTTTTTTCCTAATTTCGCATTAAATAAAAAATTTGTAAATTTAAAAATTATATTTTTATACATTTTTTTAAAGCTTTAAAATTAATCCTGAGCCAATTTCTGGGCCCGAGTATTACAATCGATGTTATGAAAGAATATAATAATATTCTATTTAGACCAAAATTTTTATTTAATTGATTAAATTAAATTTTTTAATTTAATTTTTAAATAATTAATCTATTTAGTAAAAGTCAGAACATTCTTTACTGTGCGACCTATAGGTTTAATACTAAACTGGTATCAAATTGATAAAACTAGTTTACTAATTAAGTTTAGTGTCTAGCAACACTTCTCAACGACCAAATAGCATGAAATATATAATTACTCTTAAAAACCTATTAAAAAAAGATCTAATATTTCATTCTATTATTATTGTTTCGGGTTAACCCTACGATATGATTTAATTGTCAAATCTCAATAGATAACAAATTATATTTTATGTTAATTATAATTGACTAATGAATGACATAAGAAACTATTTTCTTCTTTCATTCAACTGGCATGATCAAAGTCTTAATTTAGCCGTTATAATAAATGACAATAAAAAGCTTAAACTTATTACCAAAGTTAATATATTCCGTCTTGATCAATCATTAATTTTACAAGTATTTAATCACACCCAATATCATTTCAACTATAGTTCTATAACTATTGGTGTTAAGAATCAAAGTATAATAAATTACTTGTCAATTACTGTGATGATCTCATATCAAAAAAAAATTTTACGTCTCATCATTTTAATAAAATATTTTATTGACAATTTAAGATAATATTAACCATTAAAAATTCTCAATTGAGTCGGTTTAATAATGATATCTCAATATACATCATCTATATATATGATTTAATTAATAAGATCAACTAATTTTTATCTTATAAAAAATATCACATATGTATTAGTTTTATCAGATCATTAATGTTCTATTTTGATTATTCAACGATTAAAAATATTTTAAATTAAATTATAAAATATTTTTCTTTCATTATCAAAATTTTCATCTTAATGTAAAATTTAAATCAATAATTTTATCACATAAATTAAATAATAAGATAATAAATATGATAATTAAAATATTATTATTATATATTAAAATAAATTATTAAATAATAATATATTTAATATGTTATACGAATAATTAAATCGTAAACATAACACTTATATCCTTAGCACCAGCTACTTCCATCGTTTGTCTATATGAATATATGAGAAATTATTCTGCATAATCAGTACACGTGCGTTCTTTTCTCCTTTGTTGAAATATAATTAACATAATTATAGTAAATTATAGTTTTTTTAATTTCATTGTTAAAATTCTGAGATATATTAGTCATTGAATATGACTAATATAATTTTATCCCATGTATTCGTATTGTTGTATAAATTTATATCGTTTTTTATTCTCTATAAACTAAAATTGTATTAATTATAATATACAATATTGTATATAATAAATATAATAATAATAAATTAATAAAAATCAAATCTCAAAAATTGAAAAGAGAAGTCCATGGGCTGGCCATTCGATTTGAATAGACAGAAAATCTTTTACCGGGCTTTTTAGACTTATAATTTATACTATAAAATTTAAAAATATTATTAAAATAATTATTTATTTAAAAAAATTTAGTATTGAATAAAAATAGTTATAAAAAATATTCACTTTGAAGAAGAAAAAAAAAACAAAAACTGTGAATTTTAAAAATATTATTA